GGTCACAGAGCCAGCGCTGACTCGACAGCCCCCTCCCTTGTGCTCCTCACGAAGCTGGAGTTTGTCGGCCTGGTGGACTTGGACGGCCCTGGCCGGCAGGGCGCTGGAGTGGACGATGTGACCTTGAAGGACTGCAGCCCCGTGACAGCCACTGAGAAGGACTCAGGTCCTTCTGCCCGCTCCCAGCCCCTACCCGGGGGCCTCTCCCCCCCGCCCCCTGTCACCACCTCGAGGGACCCTGGGAGCCCCCACCCCAGAGAGCAATTCTCACACCCTCTAGGGACACAGGGCGGGTGTGAGGGTGCTCGGGGTGTGCTGACCCCACCGCGGCCCCGCCCTCAGAGGTCTCCTGTAACTTCGAGCGGGACATGTGCGGCTGGTACACCGGCCACCTCACAGATGCCCACTGGCGCCGGATCCAGAGCCACGGCCCCGGGTACGACCACACCACAGGCCGAGGTAGGGCAGGGGCACCCAAGCCCGGGGGGCGGCTCTCGGTCTGGGCCAAGCCCCTCCTGGAACCGGGGTCTCTGCAGCTCAGCCCGGTGTCCCTGCCGCAGGCTACTTCTTGCTCCTGGACCCCACGGACCCCCCAGCCCGGGGCCCTGGTGCCCACCTGCTCACCCAGCCCCAGGTGCCCACAGCTCCTCAGGAGTGCCTCTCCTTCTGGTATCACCTCCACGGGCCCCAGATCGGTGAGCGACCCTGGTGCTGGGCAGGGCCTCCCGGGTCCGGGGCTCTGCAGGGGCGGAAGCCTTCAAGAGTCGGGCTCTGGTCCCCTCCTACCCCCGCGCCCCTGTCTAGGGACACTGCGCCTGGTGCTGAGGCGGGAAGGAGAGGCAGACACGCTCCTGTGGTCACGGACCGGCACCCACGGCAACCACTGGCATGAGGCCTGGGCCACCCTCCACCACCAGCCGGGCTCTGGCACCAAGTACCAAGTGAGGCCCCACGCCAGGGCGGTGGGGGGCAGGGCCAGCCCACAGCCGCTCACCCCCTCTGTCCCCAGCTGCTGTTCGAGGGCTCCCGGGACGGCTACCACGGCACGATGGGCCTGGACGACGTGGCCCTGCGGCCCGGGCCCTGCTGGGCCCCCAGGCGGTGCTCCTTTGAGGACTCAGCCTGTGGCTTCTCCAGCGGGGGCCAAGGCCTCTGGACGCGCCAGCCCAATGCCACGGGCCATGCCGCCCGGGGCCCCCGCGCTGACCACACCACGGGGACGGCTCAAGGTTCGCATCGGGGGTGACGGAGGGGTGGGCAGAGGGGGCCACATGGGGGCTGACGCTGGCGCCTCCCAGGGCACTACATGGTGGTGGACACGAGCCCCCAGGCCCTGCCCCCCGGCCACGTGGCCTCCCTGACCTCAGAGGAGCACCAGCCTCTGGCCCGGCCTGCCTGCCTGACCTTCTGGTACCACCTGAGCCTCAGAAACCCAGGTGAGGGGTCTGCAGCCCGGGGCCCCCGAGCGGCCAACCCCCCCCCCCCCC